ATTTTTTTATTTTTTTTCCAAGTGTTACTTCTGAAAGACAAGCCACTTAACAATTATGTGCCATATTGCCGCCCGGCGGAGCTGAACAAATAGCTATTTACATTGACGGATCAGAGGAACGTGCGAGCGCGGCGCGGTAACCTACATTTGCCGTGCCAGGAGATTTGCAGCTGACTGCCGGGTGACTCACTGCTGGGCGAGGATGAGGTAATGCCTTGGAGATACGGGCTGATGTCATTCCTCTACCTGAGCCGCATGCCGATGCGGCTTCCTTCTACTTTCAAGGAAAGTCCCTTGGCTGCCTCTAGATATCCTAGAGAACAGAGAACAGGAGCTCTGATAGGAATTAATATTATTTGCTGGATTGCTGCAGCCTCTGTGTCTAAAACCTGGAAAAATAATGTCAGGGCTTGTGCCTGCCAGTGCCTGTTGTTGGACACGTGTGTTTACCTGCAAATTTACACAGCTGCCCCGGTTTTGAGATAAAGCCATTTTAGTACTAGAGGACCTTTGGGGTAATCAAGTGCAGTCCCTGGTCAGGGTGTGTCATCCAGCTATAGGTAAAATCCTCTTGCAAGAAGATGTTTTTGTTTTGTTTTTTTATCCTGCTATTCCAGCTGGAAGCTCTTGTAGAATGCCATGTGTGTGATGGTCAGTAACTGAAATGCCTCACGCTTGTTCACGGTCATTCAACCTCATCTGTTCTCGCACCAGCACTGGCCCTTGGTCTGATCGCTCTTTCCCCTGCCACTGCTCACCCCTCCAGTGGGTTCACAGGCAGCAGCTGTATCTTTTCTCAGCTTTTACTTCCTGGGTCATATGGGATATTCTGCTCCCTTAGGCTCCTCTTACGATCAGGAGCACAGGCAGGTGATGAGCAGAACCAAGCAGAGCTGCCCTGGCTTTCATCTGCGATTTATAGGGGTTGAGGTCTTAACAGATGATCAGTTTACTGCCTTGCTGTCAGAATTTTTTCGAATTCATGCAAAGCATGACCTGATTTGACTCATATCTTGGGAATATACAAGTGCATGTTGCTAAGCAAACCTGCATGTTGGGAATTTGGGTGTGGTGTTCCCGGAGATGACCAATGTTTTGTCTCTCTTGTTTAACAGTGAAAAATTTCCCAGGAATCACTGATGGGACCCTGGAGAACTTCAGGATGAGGGAACATGGTGTCGTGTGTGTCACTATCCCTGCAGCTCTGAGTTAACCACCGTGGTGCTGCCATGCTCAGCAGTAGATGCAACCTCTGGTTGCCTGCTGACCACTCTAGTCTCTGTAAATTGATGGCAAGGATGTCAGCCCTTGGAGCGTGCCGAGGCAGAGACCTTGCAGTTGTGGTTTTGGGAAGTGTATCCAACCACCTGAACCTGATCATAGCGAGTACCACTACCATGTGTCTGATGTGACCATGGTCACATGAATATAGCTGCCTAATGACCTAGTAGAAATTCTTCAGGGTGCCACTTGAAGTTGGCCTGAACTCCTACTAGGACTTGACATGTCTGTGAAGCTGAGGCAAGGACATAATTAAACGTTCAGCAAAAGGCGGAGAATGTGGCTGGTCTGGCGGTCAGGTTGTGAGGACCTGTGACCCCAGATCCCAGCCACGTGAGCAGGTTGAAGTTCCCTGCTAACTAATGCATAAGTTGTCACAGGCAAGTGATGGAGGAAAGTGAAAATGCAGAACTTGTGTGTGTGTGTGGATTATATCAAAGGAGATAAGTGGTTACTGGGACGGAAGAGAGAAGCTGTGTCCTGTTGCATGGGAAGGCAGGTAGCCATAGCCTCTTCTTCCCTCCCTTTGGTGTGGAGGAAGCAGGGGACCCTACCCATGGACTGACTTTGGCTTTGCATTGACATTTAGAGCACATATTAAGTGACTATAACATTTTTGAGCCCATTTGGTTGGGAATGCCTTCTTGGTACATGCCTTTGGTTTCCTGTCTTAAGGTTTGGGTCTCTGTATTCCCAATTGTCCTTGCATTTCTTTTTGTTTCCTAATGTCTCCATTCCTAGTAGTGCTTCTCCTGTGTTCTGAAAGCTTCTGACCTTGCTTGACCTTGGGCTTCTGAGCTACTTTCAAACCACTAGGATCCCTCCAGCTCTTCCTTGGAGCTGCCCTAGTCCAAGCCCTGTCTGTCAGAGCTACGTCATTCCTCCCTGCTCTGCCCACTCCCCCACCACTGCTGCAGAACCTGTTCCCTGCTGGCTGGTAGCAGTGAGCAGGCACAGAGTGCCCTGTAAGGCTGTCTTCCTTATGAAGAGACCCCAAGGATACTGTCTCATTCGTTCATGAAGAACAAATGTTCCTTTTTGCTCAAAAATGCCCATCTCGGCCCCTCCGATATCAGTGCTTCCTACCTTTCCCTTGTTTTCTTTGCATCATCTGCAAACAGCTGTGGCTAATGGATTTCCATGTGATATATTGATGGCAAAACAGGATTTACCCGGCTTGATCTCTGTATGCTGAATCAGTAGTACAGCTATCAGTTTAGCTATTGTTTCTTCGCAAAGCTGATTATATAAAGAACCTTGTCTGTTCGTTTCTTACTCCGCAGAATATCTTGTATGGCTGTAGATTGGTCCTGAATCACTTGCAGGCATTCGGACCTTGCAGATAAAAGGCCTGACAGAGGATTTATTCACGTAATGTCATGGCTGCACAGGCTAAAAGTTTTCATCAAAATTACTCTGCATTTACGAAAGTGTATTGCAAAAAAAAAGATCGCAATGACATTACTGTTCTGTGTAAAGCAAACATTTTAACAAAGTAGTCAAACTTGGTTAGGGCCGGTATTGGCATCGGAGTCTTTTGCTTTCAAGAAAGCATTTTCCAAAATCAGGAAGTTTCGGCTTCTAAGCTTCACAAGCTGCTCTGTAATACAAGCAGCTGTTAGCCCTACTGGTTGTTTTTTTTTTTTTTTTTTTCCTATTGATCATAGGGTGATTTCTAATATTTCTCCCCATACAAACTTTTGCTTTTGTTATTGTTTACTCTCTGTAAATGTGTGTGTATGTGTATCTTCCCACCCCAGCTGGGCCATAAAGCAGCATTCCTTGTGCATCACAGCTCACTCGTACCTGATCCTGCCCTTCTTACCACAAGGTGAATATCTGGGCGGGGAAAAACTTACCTCATTTTGCTTTGTGAGGTACTTTGCATCTACTCAGGGGTCTATTTTTATCACTTCTTCAATTACCCACTGTGTTCCTGCGAGGATGTTTTATTTAATTGTCAATCACCGTGAGACTTTTCTCTACTGCAGAGCATTGGTGTTGGATCCTGAGGGATCTAGGTGCAGTCACCTCTGAGGTAATGCCCCCTAAATGTTCTCTTTGAGCAAGCTCTATCAGGTATTAATCATGATATGCACAGATCTACAAGATCTTTCCCTCCCTATCTATATGAATCCCAACTCTGCTTAGTGCCGTATGTTCTTCTGTGACCCAGTTACAGGAATAAAAACTCTCCTGGTAGAGAGAATTTCAGTCATGCAGAAGATGTGGTTACAGGTCCTCTCACTAGTTCCTGAAATAAGAACCAGAAACCTTTTGGATCTTTTTGTAATAGAAGCCAGTGGCTTGGAGTCTATGCAGGAATATTTTGTTTGGAGTGACTAACATGCATGTACCAGAAGCCATCTCTAAATGACAAAGTGTAAGGTATCTGAACCTAATGTGACTATGCTGCAGGGTACTACCCAAACAGAGGTTCTGAAAAAGCATTATAATCTTCTATGTTAATCCTGAAAAGCACAGGCGCTGTGGCTCCACAGTATTAGTTATGGTCTATCATGCAGATAATGAGTTTCTTAATAAGTCCCTTAGTACTCATTGGCAATGACTCATACTTCCGAGCCAGGATCTCCTTGAGTATCTCAGTGTAATGGATGGAGTTCCAGGTCCTGGAGAAGATACCTTGACCTGTTGGGTGCTTAAGAAAAAGCCTGATGAGTTTTAAAGGAATTGTATTCTCCAACATAAGAAATTGTGGGGAGGAGAAGCTAGACTTAGCTGTCTAAAAAGGCAAAAATGAAAGATGAGCTCTGATTTAAATGATAATTGCTCTGTCTGCTTTAAAGGATAATGCATTTTCTGGAGTAGTCATTAGTTGCAGAATTGCTCATATACAGTCTTAGCTCTTCAGAATTCAGTTCTCTGATCTTGAGTGATTGGGAGATTCTGCGTTTAGCAGTAAATCAGCTCTGAAAAAAAAAATACAAAAAGAACTTTGCTTGCAGCGCCCTGTCTTAAAACTATTGTAAATAGCCTGTCGTAGTTGTGTTTTAACCTGTGAGTATTTAGTCTCCTCAGTTATTCCCCTTATCCACCTCAGTTATTCTCCTTATCAGATTTTCTGCAGGTTGGATGAATGCTAATCTATCAGCTGCTTGATCTTTAAAATGGTTTTGCTTAAAGTGGAAGAAGCATCATATCCTGGATTGGTTTATAAGGGACTGTTAAGATAGTGAAATGGGAATTTAGTTTTCATATTCAGCCTTTTTCTCTCTTCAATATAACTTAAAACAGAAGATTTTTAGATATAAAACTAGAAAAAATAAAACCATAGGCATATAGGCTAACCTGATAGCCTTCTATGATGAAATGACCGGCTGGATAGACGAGGGGAGAGCGGTGGATGTCGTCTATCTCGACTTCACCAAGGCTTTTGACACCGTCCCTCACAACATCCTCCTGGGCAAGCTCCGGAAGTGTGGGATAGATGAGTGCACAGTGAGATGGATTAGGAACTGGCCGGATGGCAGGGCCCAGAGAGTGGTGATCAGCGGTGCAGAGTCTAGTTGGAGGCCTGTGGCTAGTGGGGTCCCCCAGGGGTCAGTCCTTGGTCCAGTCCTGTTCAATTTATTCATCAATGACCTGGATGAAGGCACAGAGTGCTCCCTCAGCAAGTGTTTCTACTTGTGCTGTGTGTGTGTTTTGCTAAAACAATGTTTAAGTGGTGTCTAACAGCCAATTCAATGCATTTCTTTTAGGTATTTGGAAATAAGATGATAATTCCTTCCTTGGATGGGGACCTTTTCCAGTGGGATCGAGATCGAGAGAGCATGGAAGCGGTTCCTTTCACAGTTGAATCTCTTCTTGAGTCATCCTACAAATTCGGCGAGGACGTCGTTTTAGTTGGCGGAAAATCTTTAACAACCTACGGGCTGAGCTCGTATTCGGGGAAGGTAAAAGCCCGAAAAGTTCCCTTGCCACTGTGTGTTGCTAGGACTGCCTCGTAAATAGGTTGCTCTTGAGGTTTTGAAGCATGATACAACTGGTAATATAAAATTGCATGGCACAGCAGAGCAGAATCTGAACTCGTTGAGCAGATCCAGCAGGCTGGAATAGGGGTAAGCAGGCTGCTACTGAGCTGTATCCCACTGCGGTCCCTGCTGCTGCAGCCCTTGCGCTAGCTCTAACTCTTGTCTTGCCCTTCCTGAGCTGACTCATCTTGCCAACCCAACGGAAGACAGTTCACTTTTTATTGGATTAGCTTGTGCTGGGCTAGCAAATTTAGTCAGCTCAGCAAGTGTGGGCCGAGCTCCAGAGTGAGCACAGGGGAAGGGGCAGGGACTCCGTGAGGTGAAGCGAGTGAAGAAGGAAGAAGAAATGGCCTCATCCCAGCAACATCTTAGAGGAATTTGGCTCTATCATGTAGCTGTAACTGAGCTCTGCTTTGCAGTTTGCTGAGGTCCAAAACTTAGATGAAAACTGCGATCTGGCTAGGTTAGAAGGCATTTTTTATCTGAAATACATTGGTTGAAAGTTGTCTTTCAAAAAACACAAAAGGAAAAAAGGCTTAAAAAGAAAAGAAAGTGATTGCACTGTTCAGAGTTTTAGATTTTCATGACTCTCTTTCCACAACATTTTTGGGTCAGATATTAAAATGATTATAGTTACTTCATGTAGTAAAGAAGAGATTAAATCATAAATGCTGGTGTATTTTAAAAAAGACAAGGAGGAAAACAAAAACAGGTGTTAAAAATGCTTTTTAAAAACTGAGAACTTCAAATGCTTGTTTTTCACAAAATCAATTTTCCCATTTCAACGCGACAGTTTGACAGAGATCTCTTCTGTGGTGATAAGTCATGAGAGAGAATATGGAGCCCAAACTGATTTTGAGATCACTTTGATTTCCTCGTCGAGAGCAGAGGACACTAACTCACACTAGTAGAGGGCACCTCCCCCGTGTTCAGGAAATGGAAATTTCAGTTTGTGCTTTGATTCCCAGCTTGTGCATTGAGTAACAGTGATGCACCTTACAGAAAGCAGGGCCTGACTCTGCCGCGTTAAGAGGTTCAGCAATCTGTTGCCTTTGGCAGTATAACATTAATTCAGACTGATGACAATTGTATTCAACTTGCTTTCCCAAATACTATTGCCTTTATAATCTAAATTCTATTTTCTAATCCAAAACATCATCTTCGAAATCGGGAGTATTGCAAAGCCTATGCAGCTGGGACAGTTAAATAAGGCACTCTCCTCCTTTAACAGCAGAGAAGACCGAGACGGATGGCTCTGCAGTATTTTATACAAATGAGTAGTGCGTCATTTGAAGTTAATAAAGTTATTCTGGGATGTGTGTGGCATGGAAACAGAATTATCCTCCAGGCTTCATGTAGAAAGGATTTTTCTATGTCCGCAGAGATAGGGTGGGAAAGAGGAAGCTGAGATTCCTCTCTGTTAGAAGCAGAAAAGCATGAAGAGTCAAAAGACAGTCAGAAATGGTCTAAACTGAATAATGGCTTCCAGTTGTGGACTTCCTGGCTCTTTTTGAAAGCTATAGTCTGCAAAGCACTCGTGGTCTTTTAAACCAGACTTTCCAGGATCCCCCTTAAGTTGAGCACTTGAAACAGCAGAGCTCTAAATCACTTGCGAGCCAAAAATATAGTGTAAAAACTGCTAGTTTTGAACATTACTGTTTGTTAAGTTTGTTTGTCTTGAAGTTCACAAGTTTTCTAAACAGTCCCCTGCCCTGTCCCCTAGGTGAAGTACATCTGCTCGGCCATGGGCTGCCGCCGCTGGGACGACGACGAGTCGGAGCAGGAGGACACTCTCCTCCTGCACCGAACCCAGAAAACGGTCCGTGCTGTTGGCCCGCGCAGTGGCAATGAGAAGTAAGTGTGCAAATAATTCAAAAACAGGCAGAGAATAGTCCTTAATATGTAACGTTTTAAGGACTTGACCTTTTTTTTTTTTTTTTTTTTTTAAACCCTTATTAAATTGCAAACTGCACAAGGCAGTTGAGATTCCTAACTGAAGGAATGTGGCAGACTGTTGTTTAAGTTCTAGCCCCTTTGCTTTTTAATGCATATGAAAAATCCCTTAAACTTCAGTTTTATAGATGATTAGACAAAAATTGTATTTGCACACACTGCCTCTCCCTAAATCAAATGAAAATGACTTTTCTTGTCCTTGGATATCTCCAAAGAGTTTGTCAGCAGCAGCTGCACAAGGGAAGTCACAGATGTGATGGTTCCAACAGTTGGTCTTATACATCAGGAAACAGTTTTTCTTCTTATGACTAACTGATCTATTGCTTTTTAAAGTTCTTTACATACACATGGTAACTATCATGGGAATATTTTGTACTTGATGTCTTCAGCTGTCATTTTAAGCTAATTTTTAAAATGTTTTTGGTCCATTTTTTAAGTCTCATTCTTAAAGCAACTTTGTCCTTTTCATGATGTTTCTGTCCTTTAAAAGGTGTGATTCAGTGGTGACTGCCTCAGGCTGCGACTGGTGTTATCATGCTGAAGCTTTTAACACATCCAGAGTTTTATGAAAATGCACATTCCACAAGTAAAAAAAATATATATATTGCATAAAATAAAAATTCAAAAGTCTGGTTACTCCACTTACATTCAATAATTGCCTAACAATGTAGCAAAGAACAGGTCTTTCCCTGCTCCCCCTGCTCCCTCTTCTGTTTGCAGCAGGATTTAACAGGTTGTGCAGCTGTAGTCAGTCAGAGATAACCTAGTTACAACTTGAATAGATTAGCAGATCAGAAGCCTTCAAAGGGAAGGGAGAAGCATGTCACAAAAACCTAGCAATGTGCATGCTCTTTCCTTTGTGCATCTCTTTTTCAAACATGTGACATCTGTGTATCCAAATGCTCCTGTCTTTGCAGTCAGAAAGAGATGCTGTCCTGTTGGCACAGTAGATCTGCTGTGTTTTAATCCAGAGAAAGAACAAAACCATAACGTTCAACTGAAAATGTAAAATATGCACAAATTCTATCATATGAGTTTTAAATGTTTTAAGGGGCACTGAACGGGCTCTTCATTGGTGCCAAGGTATTTCTAGCAAACTTTGGGTGCCTAAACGTTACTTCTGAAAATATTTTTCAGTTTCTGCCCTCAATTGCTGGTTTGCAAAAGTTAAGGAGCTTTTGGCCATACAAGACATCTCTGTGTTCCTGATATGGTTGTCTTTCTCTCAGAGCATATTCACCTTTGAGCAGTCCTGGTTTCGCTGCAGTAGCTGTCAGAAAGATCCTGTATTAATATACCTCTGGGATTAAAGCAAAAATAAAGAATAATTTTTCCCCGTCTTGAAAATTGTTTCACATAAAATCTGCTTTATCAATGGAGAAATGTGTAATGAGCATAGACCGCTGCTTCCTAAACACCATACATTTGCAGCTTTTATCAGATGCATAATGTTATTCTACCTAAACAGATCCAAATATATTTCATTATTTTTAATTGTGATGCCCATATATTAAACTTAACCTTTAATCCATTGGTTCTTCTTCACTAGCTGCTTTACTTTGCCTTCTCAACTCATGCATCATGTTGTGCAAGAAGTTGTTTGGCTTGTGTCCTGGAAATAGCCTCCTTAGAGGATTAGCATCCCCTTTCCTGGTACAATTGGCTTCCTCTTCCAATCCTACTGCAAAATATGGGTCAAATGGACACAATTCACTTTAAGAGTCTTTTGGCTGGAGGGCTTGGGAATTTCCCCTTGTAAAATGTAAGTTGTTGCTACAAAATTTTTCTTTTTCTCTTTAAGGTGGAATTTCAGCGTTGGTCACTTTGAACTGCGCTATGTCCCAGATATTGAAACTAGAGCGGGATATATTGAGAGCAATTTTAAAGCAAATATGAACAAAGAAGAAACTAAAATAATTTCAGATGTGGAGGAGCAGGAAGCTGTAATGAAAGATACAGTGATAAAGGTCTCTGTAGCTGACTGGAAGGTTATGGCTTTTAATAAACGAGGAGGACATCTGGAATGGGAATACCAGGTACTGAAAAAGAGAAAATATTAAATGTTATGGAAGTAGAAGCTTTACAGCGTTACAGAAAATTTGTTTTGAGTTTTCTTCTTATGTGCTCTAGGTGTACCTGCTGGAGCAGGGAAGTTGGACTAGATGATCTCTAGAGGTCACTTCCAACCTTAAGCATTCTATGATTCTTAGTGAAAAAAAAGGAAAAAAGCCACACATCTGCTTGTAACTTTTTTTAAAAATGAACTTTTATCTTTCAGCTGCTACATTTGTTACAAAAACTAATCCAAGGAGCTTAAGCATGTCATTTATCATTACTTTTTCAACGTATCTCTTTATTCTTCAGTTTTGCACTCCAATTGCTTCTGCATGGCTGGTTAAAGATGGCAAAGTGATTCCAATCAGTCTGTTTGATGACACAAGTTACACTGCGAACAATGAAGCTTTAGAAGATGAGGAAGATCTTGTGGAAGCTGCCAGAGGGGCCACAGAATCCAGTGTCTATTTGGGTGAGACACCTATTATAGCATTCTCTGCATATGGAAATATGGATATGGACATGTATGCTGTGCATATCAGCATTCTCTGCTGAGGTTTTAGTGAAGGAGATCTTTTTGTACTGGTAGATTAAGGTCAAGAACAGTAATTACATGTCCAGTCTGATACTCCATATAATGCAGACCATTAAATTTGAACCAGAATTTGAGATTTCATTAACACATGTCCCAGAAGGGCACCTACTCTTGACTTAAATATTTATAATGGGTAGAGGTGTATTTTCATCCCCTCCAGCCTGCTCTGGTCATCCCTGCTGCCATCATTCCAAGAAATCCATCCATCTTAGAAATTTTAACAAGCATAGAAGGTACAGACCAGCAGAGAAGGCATAGCTTTGACTCCAGCAGAATTAATTTGTCTGATTTCTTTGGACTAAACTGTTAGTAATAAGATTGTTTCTTTCTTTCTTTTTCAAAAAAGATAGTAAAACTATAAATCTTTTACACCAGAATGTTCACTGCTTTGTAGTGTCAGTACTTTTGAGATATTTCCAAGTCTCAGAACTTTTGAAGATAGCCTTGTACCTACCAAGGCAGTCTTGCTGCTCGGTAAGCAATAAGCAATACTTCCTTCCAGCCCACTGATCTGTCACATTCTTTTTTTTTTTTTTTTTTTTTTGTTAGCTTTGGAATGGATTACAGTAATTTCCCATGAAGAAATTTCAGCTAAGGTTTTGTACTGCTGAGTCCAGCTGTCAAAACTTATTTAACTTTATTTAATGTGGCTTGTGACAATTTGAAATAGAGCTGTCTCTCTGGGAGGTAAATGTGCTTTGGCTTTCTAAGACTTTTTGCCTTAGCCTTTTTCTCTTGAGTCTTTACACTCAGATTTTACACTCAGTTTTCCTGTTAGTGGTTAAACAGATAAATCTTAAAAATAGCAGCTTTTCTGTTAATGGCAGTTGAGGAGTAATCTGTACCAGTATTAAAGGAAGTCTTACATATAGAAAGCCCAAGTTGCTTTATAACTCTTGAAAATTGCTGGCACTTTTCTGAAATTTCGATTCTACAGCAGTCAAAACAAGCCATGTTGATCTCTTGCATTTTTTAGAATAAAGGCAACATCTTATTTGAATACATCCAGACCTAGTAATCAGAATACAGACAAATACTTTCCAAAATGCTTTCTTCAAACTAGCATGAACTGCAAAGATTAAAATAAGTTATAAAGGTTATAATAATGAAATTTTACAAGGGTATGAATTTTGCTTTTCTTCAGTTAGGCAGTTTGAGTCACTAATAACAAAATTACTCCTTGAACTTCTTGGGTAAGTAAGTGTAGGGTCACAAATTGCCTTGTGAACTGAGCTGAGCTGTCTAACAACTGCTGGTCAAGCTGCTGCGCTGATCACTGTGAAAGACAGAAGAGATCTGTGACAAATATGAAAGACATCTCTAGAGGAGATGGGGATCCTTCTTGAAGGATCACTGTTCTACAAGGAGAGAAACTGGATCTTAACCAATTTTTTGTTGATTAATGCATGGTGATGATTTGACTTCCCTATTACAGTAATAAATATATTTTTCACAGTTTTCATTAGTTCTACCTGGAATTAAACATGAGATGCTTGTTCCTTCCATGGGTGGGTGCTCTCTGAAATGGTGCTTAAGAGAAACCCCCTTTTCCAGTGGGGTTCCATGCCCAGCCTTTGCTGTCCTGCAGGTAAGGCATTAGGGGTGCCTAGCAGCCTTCCTGTTCCTTACAACGGCAGTTGGTTGTGCACTAAATGCGAGGTTAAAAACCAAACACCTGAAGTGCCAGAAATGTTTAACCACGTTCATAACTGGGCAATTCTGTGCTGGTCTGAATCTTAACACGAATGTGATCTCTTGTTTATTACTTAGGTATGTACAGGGGCCAGCTCTATCTGCAGTCATCAGTCAGAATTTCTGAAAAATTCCCAACCAACCCAAAGGCTCTGGAATCCAGAAATGATAATGCAATTATTCCTCTTCCCAAAATCAAATGGAAACCCTTAATCCGTAAGTAGCAGTGCAGAGTTTTGTTATCTTAGCAATGGAAAGACAGGACATCTTTCTGACTCCCATTATGCATGAGCCTTGTCTAATGTTTCCAACTGCAACAGAAACAATCTCTGTGCTATATTAATGTTTTTTTTTTTATTTGAATGTTTAATATCTAAGTATCTTTCTTAAACTATGAATTTGACAGTATCTTATTTATTGATGAATTGCTCATCTTCTAATTCAAATCTTTCTGCAAAAAGGATGAAATTTTTGCAGTGATGTGAAGATTGGTTCATGGACTTGTCCAGAAAAGAGTATTTTGGCAAGGAGAGAGTGGAGATTTATTAGGTGATAATTATCTTAAAATAGCCTTTAGATGTTTCCTTGCATGGATTTTGATTCATGAATTGAATCTTACATTTCCTAAAATTATGCATTTGGAATTCTCATAGAATATGTGTGAAAGTGTGGAGTTTTTATGACAGCTTAACTCAGAAACTAAATTTCCTTTCTATGCTTAGATTCTCCTTCCAGGACTCCAGTCCTGGTGGGCTCGGATGAATTTGACAAGTGTCTCAGCAATGACAAATATTCTCATGAAGAGTACAGTAATGGAGCACTTTCGGTTCTGCAGTATCCATATGGTAAGCGGAAGCCTAAATTTGGAATTGTTTCAAATATCCACATTTACTCATATGTTACCTGTGAAATTCAATGAATGCCCGTGTGTTTGATTTTAAATATATAGCCCTTTTAACATTTAATGAAGCAGGAAATTATTAGGATTTCCAAACTAGGATTTCCAAATTGCATTGCATGAGCTGTCACTGCTACACAGAGCACTTTGCATTGCCAGAAGTTGCCACTGCAGAGGTTTTGTGTGTACTGTCATTGCCAGTAGTAGCTGTACATAGTGAAAAAAGTTGATTTTTATTGTTGTTTTGATCTTTTTGTGGTGGATTTTTTTTAGATTTTTTTCCCCAGAATTTGCTAACGTTGCTAGAGGTTCAGCCTTGCTGTATGGCTTTGCTATGTGGCTGACTTCCTGTGCTGAGTCTTTCAGTGGTCAGGCCTCGGCAATAAACTGTGACTGGAGACCTAGCTTGGCATAGTTCAAAGTCCATTCAAAGTCCACAGCTTTGAATACCCGAATTCAGCTATGGAATGAGCTATATAAAAAATCATAGGACACGCAAACAAGAATACTCTGCGTCTATTCCGAAATAATAACAAGACAGAATTGCTTGTAGTTACCCACAAGTTGATCTATTCCCTCCTTGTGTCTTTCCTGTGCAGATAACGGTTATTATTTACCTTACTACAAGAGAGAAAGAAATAAACGTAGCACCCAGATCACCGTTAGATTTTATGAGGATATGAATTACAAGAATATTCGCAAAAAAGATCCCGTTCTTCTGCTTCACTGGTGGAAAGAAATAGTTGGCACTATTGTATTCTGCATCGTGGCCACAACTTTTATTGTACGCAAACTTTTTCATCCCCATCCTCACAGCAGAGTAAGTACCTTTTTCAGTCCCTAAATACAGAAGGCATTATTCTAGACTTTGCTTTTGGTTTTCAGTGAGTAGTGTTAATAAGTTAATAACTAATGAAATAGCAAAATCAAAAGCCTAAATTTATTGTATTTCTTATTTAATGTATTTGTGAAAGCTGTCAGCTGCTGTGTACAAGTCGCTTAACTGCTGCAGCAAGCAAATAGATTGCTTCAACAATATCTGAATTACACAGAAGTGATTTAATGTCATATGTAAAGGTACAAATTGATCTCAGGCAGTAAGGACTTTTTGTTGTTTTGGTAGCTGCGGAAGGAATCTGAAACACAGTGTCAGACTGACAGTAAATATGAGTCCGCGTGTGGAGATGTTAAAGAGAGCAGCTGGAATGATGTCAAGAACTCTGGATACGTGTCAAGGTGAGCTCAAGTAACCACAATTCAACAAGACTGCTAAAGTGTTTTGGTCGGGGTGAGAACTAACCTTACCCGGCGAGTTTGTACTTGTTGATTGTTACTAGTGTTCTCAGACTACGTAGAATAAGTGTCAAATGCAACACACAACCCTGCCACCACGCTGCCAATGGGATGGCAATCACTGAGCAGTCGCTGAGAGGCTTCAGGATGCCTGTGTTTGGAATTGTTCTTATATTTCTCACTGAAATGGAAAATTGACCCTTGAGGTCCTCAGTGCCTGTCCTGTTTCTGTTTGAGGAATTGGAGATGGAAGCATCTGAAATTTTATGAGCAAAATGAGTAGAATATATTTGAAACAGTCCTTTGCGCTCTTTTAAAGGAGATTGGTTAAGGCAAAAGACTTTCTAGGCATATGTCACTGGTATTTGAAGAAAATATGGCCATGAGCCACTTGCAACTTGCTGAAGCTGTGAACTAGAGAAATAAGAATGAGGAAGAATAAGAAGGGTTATGAGATATAAAAGCAGTGATGTTTCAAAAAAGATGCACGGAAGAGCTAGTAGCAAAAATGCTCGAGAGGGGGCAATTTTTAAGGCAGTTTGTGATTTAGATGCTTGGCTGTCACCATCTAGTTATGAGGATAGAAACCCAGGCTAAACACCTCTCATCTTGACAGTAAGCACCCAACCTAATAATCCTAAAAGCTTCTTCAATTTATTATGTGCTGCTGTAAGGAGTCTTGCTGGGAACAGACAGACACCGCATAAGTGTGTAATCAGCAACTGTCCATTTCATAAACAACCAACCCCCCGATTACATCAGTGGCTGAGCACGGCAAAAAGACCAGAGAAATGCTGGAAGTCACGCAGCATGTTTTGCCTGTAGAGAAATATTTCACCCTTAGAAAAGCAAAATGGCTTATGAGTATCCCTTACTAATGCATTTCTCTCCACTATCCTCCCTCTCTTCTCCTGCCCCTCTGTGACACTCTCTCTCCCGCCAGATATCTGACAGATTTTGAACCAATTCAGTGCCTGGGTCGTGGAGGTTTTGGAGTTGTTTTTGAAGCCAAAAATAAAGTAGATGACTGCAATTATGCTATCAAAAGGATCCGTTTACCTAACAGGTAATGAATGAGTTTGAGATACAGACAAAGTAATGAGTTGTGGAAACCAATCCTACACTGAACCATCTGCTCCTGAATTAATTTCCAGATACTATTACGTTAGGATGAATAACATACATTTTACTGGGGGGCTGATTGAGTTTTGGCATTGAGAATTTGCCATATGTAATCACAGCAGAAGGGTGACCTGCTTGGCTAAAATACTTGCATAGCAGGACACTCGAAAGGATGTTACGGCTACACGGGAGCTCCGTTGATTGCCTAGATGAATAAAGCCTTTGATAACAGGACCAGTGATTTGTAGCACTGTTAATTTGCTTCTCTCCTTCCTCTCTTTACCTCTCCTATTCCATCCTTTTTTTTCCTCCCTCCCTCTTCAGCTTTTCTGACTCCATTTGTCCATTTGTTTCATTTTCTGGTCCCACAACCCTTACCTTTTCTTTCAGTCATAGGTGGTCAAGCCATGCTGCTGAATTCCCCTACACAGAGCTTGCAGCACTTCCTTTTAGTGGGAGATGGGAGACACTGCTTCTGGAAATCTCGAGTTAGAACAGCAACAGGCAGGCCAGTAGAGGGAGGGGGTAAAGCTATCAAATCTAGAATTACTATTTTTTAAATGTGTTAAATAACTATGATTATTTAAGATAAAGATTTTGTTCAAAAAACTAAGGTAGCCTGCTTTTTTCTTTACCAAGCCTATGATATTAAAATTCATTAAATAAATCTCTTTTGACTTAATTTGAACCAGTTATAGTCTCATGAAGAGAGTTTTTGTAGGATACCAGGCTACCTGTTTTCCTACCTGTAAAATGGAGGTAGTCTTTACACAGTCTCCAAAAGTTCTGCCAATTAAAGAAGGGTGTAATTAACACTGAGGTATGATGGTCTGTCATCTTTTGTGTCAGTGTCTTCTACATCCCTGCTAGAATATTGCCATTTTCCTATCCTTGTAAAGAGCTGAGAGCAAGGTGAAGTTTTTCTTCTAAGTTTTTGTTGCCCATAATTTTTTGAAAAGAGATGACTAAATAATTAGCCGTTATGAGCATATGCTGCTCCCCCACACTTCTAACCTGAAGGAGTTATTCTGGGGAATTGAAGGCAGATCTGTCTCTTGGTGTGAAGAACAGTGCTACCAGCCTGCTTTACGCTGGGCTAGCTTTGGTTAAATTCCGTTGCAGAAATTTCCTTTCTGTGCTGTTGCTTGGTGTGACCTGGTCCCTCTGTTTTCCTCCTCCTCACCCAAATCCCTAGGGAGCTGGCTCGTGAGAAGGTGATGCGGGAAGTGAAGGCCCTGGCTAAGCTGGAGCACCCAGGGATTGTCCGGTACTTCAACGCGTGGTTGGAGGCGCCGCCGGAGCAATGGCAGGAGAAGATGGATGAGCAGTGGCTAAAGGATGAAAGGTAACTCACTCATGAGATGACACGATGGAATTTTTGTAACAGTTGAATGTTGCAATGGTGAAGTTCATCAACAGAATGAGAGAACTGATTGACTATCCAAGAAGATGGAGACATCAGTCAGGAAAGAGATAATAGATAATTAAGGGTGTGTAAAGGCCCTTTTAAAGGGTGGGGAACATGCTATAGGCCTTCATTTAACTTTCCTTCTTTGGAAGGAAAGAAGGGTAGAAGATCGGGCGTTGTTACTGAGATTTGCTATTTCTGTCATCTTTGTTCTGTGTTTCTGCTGTCCTCCAGTTTGTTGTCTTGGTTTATGTGGGTGATTTATAGTGCGTGGTAGAATTAGGTTAAAAACAGAAAATTAAGTAAAAGAGAAGATTAAGAGGGTATTGAAAGTGAAGAAAAAAAGTGAATTTATGTTAGCAGCAGTTTAAGGTGTCAAGGAAGGAAGGAGGCTTAATATGAGACTATATAGTGATCTCATAGTAACATCTTAAAATGCCTAAGAATTTTTGGAATACATTGACCTTTATTTTTCAGGGATTGAATTAACATTTCACAGCTCTAACTCTTCCAACGTGGCAATAAATGTTCAAAAGAAGTGAATATTTTGAGCTGAAGATAAACCTGATTGCACAGAGGGAGGCAGGGAGTAGGGTTTGCTAAATTTTCTTTTATCGTTCATGAGATATTTAGCACAATACATTTATCTCAATGAGAAAACATAATCCTCACTGAGAGAAATAATGCTGAATTCTGGTTACTAGTGATTTCCCCCCTCAGAGTCATTTGCTATTATGTCAGGATGCCTTCTGTTCTCAAAGCAAGCAGTAGTTTAAACATAGTCTTCTGAAAATTCATTTGTGGTGAGGTGAAGTTCTACAGTGTTGATCTGTCTGTTCCTTTTTTTCCCATTCCTTTTTTTTAGCACCGATTGGCCACTCAGTTCTCCCAGTCCAATGGATGTTCCATCATTTAAGATCAGAACAGAGCCATTCTCTGCAAAAGAATATGTTGAAGTTATTGCCACTTCATCTGAGAGAGTAGGGTCCTTTTCCGTGGGGGTATCCTGCGGACAGTCTGATTCATTGGAAAGCCGGTTTTCTCCTCTGGAATTTTCTGCCACGGACAACAGGGACTTGCACCAGTCCAAAGATCCCCTATTAAACCTGCAGGACAGTGTTCTTATGGGCTGTGATGTGGAAGACAGTACCATCAACACCACCCAGCTGGGTCATTCCTTTGAAATGTGCCCTGCAGCTATCCCTGCGGTACACCTGAGGGAAGGGACGTCGTCCTCGATTGTGTTTGAAGATTCTGGCTGCGGAAATGCTTCCAGTAAGGAGGATAAAGTTGATGTTTCACATGATGAAAGTGTTTCTGAGGATAAGCCTACAAATACGAAGGAGTCCAGTGACAGGAAATCTGCTTCAGGAAGTCCCCTCTCAATTTCTCCACCAAGGCCAACAAGTTTAAGCCTGGACTTTTCTAAAAATACAACGGAAAAGGTCAAACCCACCTCTCCCAAAGTGTATCTTTACATCCAAATGCAGCTCTGCAGGAAAGAGAACCTTAAAGACTGGATGAGCAGAAGATGCATGATAGAGGAGAGGGAAAGGACAGAGTGTCTGCAGATATTTCTGCAGATAGCCGAAGCAGTTGACTTTCTGCACAGCAAAGGATTAATGCACAGGGATCTCAAGGTTTGTATTGGTAGAATATTGTAGGAAATGTTTTCTCTATTTGCATGAACGTCACTGAATGCCTGAATTTGCCAAGCTCTAACTGTAACTGTGATCACTGGCTGTGTCCTTTTGACAAATATTTTCTGGTTTACTGCTGTGAGATTATCTTTGGAGCTATGGCAATTGAATTATCTGTGCCCAAATTGTCACACGCAAGTCTCTGCTGCTGCAAAATTCCTGAAGCGCAGGGACTGATTCAGATGGCAGCACAGAGTAGCTGCCTCCTTACTGCATTACTAACTTGGGGATCAGCAATTGCATGTTTGACTGCCTCTCAGCTCAATTTTAGGTTCTGCTTTAAACTGAGAAATCATGTGATTACAGGTAACACATATATATAAAAAATGTGGGGATAACATGACATTGGAGAGAAACCCTACTAAGATATTTGACAGTATTGGTTACCTCCGAATGGGTGTTGCAAAAGCTAAGTCTGATATTTTTACAATAATTTGGAAGTGGGTGCTCCAGGAAGTCAGCATTCATCATTTATCATTACAACTCAACTCTTCCTACGGCAAGACCCCTTGTACCTGCCATGGATCTGCTTCATTTGTTACGGCGTTTTTAATTCTGGTTTGTGCTTTTACAGATTTGTTCATTGCTGAGCTATACGGCAAAGAAAGCTCCTAGTGTGAAATTTCTGTTTGGTGTGAACCAGATAATTCTTTATTTTTCTCCTTACTCTTTCTGTAGCGATATTGCCTAAGAGCAGCAGTGTTAATCATGCTTACAGAAATCAAAAGTAATGCATTAGTACTGTAGGACTGAAATGTGAGCTGTTCTGCCCCTGAATTCCTAAGTCAGTGCTGACTGCTGTAATCTTTTTAATGTGTGATAAGGTGCAGCGTGTTAAGACCAGTAATGAGTGCTCTACAGCACAGGAAAGTTGTTTGCTTTTAGCTCTGGCATTTGAGATAGTTGGAATAGGAGTAACTTACTGGATTTTATACCTCTTCTGTGTTGCCTTATCTTGCTGAAACCTAGTATTGGAAGTGTCACTGGTACTAGTGACCAAAATCTACAGATTTACCACGAACCAAGTAGGAGTCATGATGCAGATAGTCTCATATAACATCGCTGAGGGCTGCAGGTCTTTACTCTTGCCAAGTCCTGGAGAGGCAGTTACCATTTCTGTTTGGGGAAGCATTAATACCCACCTCAGTGGAGTAGATACTGAAATGCCAACAGCTGTGTTGGAGCTCCTCAGATGGTAAACATTTGGTATCAGTAGAAACAAAAGATTAAAATACCGTGTCAGGTATGTCTGTTAAAAGGGGAATAAAAGTTTGATAACACTAAAAGCACATGCTAAAGTTGGAAAAACTCATAACCTATCCAAGTATTTTCTTTTCACATCAGCATTAAGTAGTTACCTTGAACCCAAACTATATGAAAATCTTTAGTGCTTGAGAAACTTAGCAGACAAGTAATTTAATCCATATATTAATATGTTGCTAGACATGCTAATTAATAGCATTTCTTAACAATACAGTGCCTGGAAACTCTGCAGAGTCTTTGCTGGGGTCACTCTTTCGCAAAGTTACGTAGATCTTGGCTTAAAGCTACATTGGTGTCAATCAGCAGTTATGTAGAGTTTTGTTGGAACATCTTAAAAGTTCAGTGTTGGCAGGAAGATGAACAAGAGGGTTTTTGTTTACTTGGTATAAACAACTTGGAAGAATCTCCCCAAATGAGCAACTTCCAGGCTTCAGAAAACTTCCTGTGCATATATAGACATTATTCTTATATCCTAGAGGTTTATTTGTCTATGTTTTGTTAATTTGGTCAAAGTAACGGCTAGTAGGGTCTTTTTTCTTGTTTTCAGGAGCTCCTTGGAAGAAGTTTCATCTAATTTTCTAATTTTGTTTGTCAGCTCTAATACATGAATGTGTGAATCTGGTTTTCCTCTGCTAACCTCTGTCTAGCTCTACTGTAGCTCTTCTTGTTCCCATTGGCACCAGTGAGAGCTGGTTGGACCTGTGTGAAAATAGCTTTGAATGCCTGTATATTGAAAGAGTCAAAGATTTATTTAAAAAGAATTGTTAAATTAACAACACACTGAGATATATTCATTAGGCTCCCCCTCATCAGAGATAGCTTAGTGACAAGACAGTAGGAATTTAGGCAAGTAGGTAAGCAACTGGATGGGCTGCGCTTCTAATTCTTTGAAAGAGAGTAAAATAATTATGTCTGTCAGGTGGATTGGCTGTTATTCCCAGAATGAGCTGTCAGCCGTGCTTTGGCAGCTCAAAAAAACATGTTGGATCAAATGAGATATCAAAGGATTGACAAAAAGCCGCTTTTTAGCATCCTTAATTGAATTGAACAGTAGTCTTCCAGATGTGTGATTACATCCTTCATTTATGTGGAAACCTGGGCAATTTTACTGTGATGGAAGAATCTGAAATTTCTTTGTGCACAAGCTAAGATAATTAAACTGGAAATGGGTTGTATTTTCCTGATTTTAGTCCCAGCTGAGGGCGCCTGCCTCTCTTCGGAGCGCGTTGCTGCCGGCCGCGCTCCGCTGGGGCTGCGGGAGCTCCGCTCTCCCCGGTCTGCAGCAGCCCTGTGCGCGAGGGGAGGCCGGGCACAGACCGTGGGTTTCTCTGCGAAGCAAGAGGCATCTTCCTGGTTTGTGTGTGTGCTGGAAGGGGAGGGAACGGAGATGAAGTTTGTAGCCTCTAAATCCTTCGTGGAGACGTTTGTGTCTTGCACGTTTCAGTTCTGAAAGCATTTCTGAGTGTTTCTGTGTGCATTTCCCTCAATGTCAGTGTCCATTGCCATAGTTTAAAGCAAAGAGGGTGGTATGTGGCAAGCAAGCTAAAGCAGGGTTAAAGCCAGGGTGTCAGTGTTGCTGCTCTTGTGACTGCAAAGTTCATAAACTTTTAATTCCGTTGGGTAGAAGCTCTTCCCCCAGGGCCACTCAGTACAAGCAAGGAGTGGACCTTGTTCCCAGACTTTCGATATATCTATAATTTAAAGTTAAGATGGTATATGCTGTAAGCCAATTAAAGATTTTGTGGGTGCCTGTAACGCTCGGAGATCAGAATAAACGATTAGGAGTAAGAACTGCAGCGTTAGGTGGGAATTTGCCATGTGTGTGATGGCGAACGGGGTGACTTGGTGCTGCTCTTTCCTAGAGATGTTATTTTTGCAGGCTCCTGTGGTGTTGGTAACCCTCTACAGGAAGGCAAGAGATGAGCAGTCTGAGATTCAAGGAGGATACTGGTTATTGTGGAATAATTCTGTTTTCCTGAATAGCTGGGATTCTCAGCCTGTCTTGCTAATGTGATCTTTAATTAGAAATTTTTAGCTGAATTAGAACAAAATGCTCTGTGTACTGAGACCTTGAGACTTGTTAGTTACTTGCTTTTTTTTCTCTCTCTTTCTTTATTGATTTTTTTTTCAGCCTTCCAATATATTTTTCACCATGGATGACATAGTAAAGGTCGGGGATTTTGGACTGGTAACTGCTATGGACCAAGACGAGGAGGAGGAATCGGTCCTCACGCCGATGCCGGCCTACGCCAGACACACGGGACAAGTAGGGACCAAGCTCTACATGAGCCCCGAACAGGTTGGTGCTCTCTGCTCCAGCAGGCCTGGTAGCTGTGTGGATCCCCAGGAGCTCACACATCAGGCACTCTTTCTATGTAGTGACTTGTTGCAATCGGGTTACTTAAATTCTTTTATTGGAACCATCAAGGTAAAATTTTGACCTAAACTGAATTCCCAAATTAATATTTTTAATAGGTGTATATTTATCACAGCAAAAAAGTGTTTGGCTAATGATTTCTGCTTAGGTGCATTGATTAGTTAATCTTGCTGTTACTGCTAAGAGAAGACAAACTATATAACGAATTCAGGGTTGATGAGAAAGAACACGCTGTGGCACACGAGATTGAAGCTGAAACACTTTACCTGGCAGTCGTACCTGCCAAGGGGAGCTGATGGTCAGGCGCTCGGCTGGTTCTTGCTCCCTTGGTGAAGCCTGGCTGCGCGCCCAGAGGCTGATAGAAAACCTGCCCTGGCTCTGCACAGAACCAGGCACTTCGTGGGTTGGCCGAGTGGGGTTTGATCACACCGTGTCCTTCCGTGCAGTAAGGACTTTGACTGACCTAACCCTAATTTTGGATTTTCAGATCTATGGGAACACCTATTCGCACAAAGTGGATATCTTTTCTTTGGGGCTGATTCTCTTTGAGCTGCTTTACCCCTTCAGCACACAGATGGAGAGGGTCAGGGTAGGTACCGTGTTTTACCAAGGATTATCTGCTGTTTGGTCTCTTGTATAAAATCTCCATTCGCTTGGAAAAGCATTTGCAAGAGCTTCTTCTTGGCTCTATTTTTGAAATTAGAAGGACAGCTTCTTTTTCAGCTTTGTACAGATCGGGAATGAATTGCAGTCTTGCTAGCGAGTGCAGTTCAGTTGAGGCCCTGATTTCTTTACAAATTTACACTGATGTCAAGCCAAGTAAGAGAAACTGTTGAACTACGACACACAGGACCTCAGCAACAAATACACTTGTGGCTTTAAGCCTATCAGTTTGTTTTTCATTGGAGAATTTGACCCATGCTGAGTTTTTGCCATTCCTTCCTCCTTTGCCCGTCCAGTGCTTTGTCACTCAAAACATATAGTGGAAGTTGCCATTAGCTTTGCTAATAGCAAGTCTTGGCTGTGAGTCTTGCTCCTCTTAAAGCACCATCTACCCAGTAATAAAATGACCTCTCGTTGCATCAGCTGTGAATTTGAGAAGTTTGGTGGTACATTATTATTTTTCTCTGCTATTAGAACACATGTGAAATCCATCTCTGCCATCTGGAACAAGTTCATACAGAGGAGCAAGGGCTACAGCCTGTTTTTCTTGTACCTTGTGATCAATGACCTACCCATGAAAGAGGAGAGAATTGTTATAACTTGTATTTGTCACTGGGATATGTTTGGCGTTTCAATCCTCATGTAAGGACAGGCTCTTTTTTTGCAGAGATGTAAAAGCATCTTGAACAAAACCATGAAAACAGCCGGACCGAGTGCTTCATATCTGCTGGTCTTGCATTCTTCTGTTAAAGCCTTCTAGATTTAAATGACACAAAGGAGCATATTCTAGAGGACTGAAGTTGCTTAACTTGGACTGAAAACAGCTTAAATTTCCCTATATTTCCCCAAATTAAAATAATTTGCCTGGAACATATGCCCCAGAGTTTTCCTTGATCATCAAGATCTTATGCAGCGGTGACTGCAAGAGCTTTGCCCTTCCAATGTCTGCCCTGAGTATAGAAGTAAAGCAAAGTAATCAGGAAAATGAATCCTAAATTACCTCAAATTTCCAGTAATTTTTCTTCCGTGCTTGACCAGGCAGTGCAGCAAATCCTCGGAGTGTCTGGTAAGCAGAAAAATTCCCAGAGGAGAAATGTAAGATGCCTCTCTGCCTCAGGCTGTTAGCGGTTAGTCTGTGGCAGCGCAGATTGTTTTCAGATAAGATGTTTGAAAACAGATCAGATTTCAGATTGATTGGTAAAAACGAAGTTTGGGGTTTTTTTTTAGCTATTTATTGGCACAGAGCTCAATTTTATCTTTCTCAGAAGTGTGGCTGTGACTGCAATGATCAGCTTATGCTTTCAGCAAAATAATAATAGGTTGAGTTTAACTTCAGAATTATTTTATTCTTTCAAAATTATTTATTTTATGCCTTTTATTTTTTGTGAAGGGGATACTTCTTAAAAAATGTAGAGTACTAAATATTGTCTTTCTGGACTAGAAGCATGCATGCCAAAGCGGGTCATGGCTTGCTGTAAATCACGTAATTTATGTCAATAGCTTGCTGCAAATTATGTAGTTGAACGTGTGAGACACTGTCACTAGATGGAGCCAATGTGCTTGTCATGAACAGTGACTAATGGAGAGCAGCTTCGTTGTACGGACACACAAATGGGCCGCTTGAGCTGCCTTTGAAACCGCTGATAGATCTGCTGTGAGCCCATTAGCAGCTTGGGGATTACAGTGCCAAGAGAGCCTGGCATTGCCTGCATCTCCATTCTGCACTCAGGAGATCTTGGTTACAGGTGGCGCAGCGCTGACCTCGCTGAGCCGAAGTGGGAAAGCAAGAGTCTGTGCATCTGGACGCTCTAAAATTGCGAAGATCAGAGCTCTCGTAACTGCATCCATAGGGAAACAGTAGTGTGAACATTTAAATACATTGTAGTTTGAACCACGAAAACGATTGATAAAGGAAAGCCTTTCCTTTATCATAGGAAATCCTTTTGCATAGTTTGGATACTTTTGAAAAATAAAACGATAATTAAAAGAAAGCCTTTCCTTTATCAGGATTATTAGTTTGCATAGTTTGGATACTTTTGAAAAATAATAAGAATACATTGTTGGAAATGGTATTTTGGAAGAATTAAGTGCTTTTCTTAATATTTTACAGACCTTAAGTGATGTCAGAAATTTGAAGTTCCCATCATTGTTCACTCAGAAGTATGCACAAGAGGTAAGTATATCTGATGCTCGTAATTTTAGCTTTTTCTGATTTGTTTTTCCGTTGTCTTGCAAGTAAAAAAAGCAGAAGTTTTAGCTTTCATGTCTTTAAGATGCATTTCTCTGTCCAGTATTTTACGATGCTTCAAAATTAGAATGTTATAATGTGGGGTTGGACCAGCTGATCGCCAGAGGTCCCTTCCAGCCTCAGCCATTCCGTGGCTCTGTGCATGGCGATGTTTTTGCCACACAGTTTAACTGCAGTAACTGTAGGATATTAGCTGACTTTCTTTTGTCACTTGTTGTCACTCATTTCACCTAAATCTTGATGTGATTTCTTGCAACGAGTCCATGTACACAAAGTGCAGAGAGTTCTAGACAGGTAGCATCATGGCTGTATGGGGTCTAGCTCCAGGAACTGGATCTTGCAAGTGGAGAGCTGTATAAAAGTGGTAACATTCCAGGTAAAGAGGAGGTTTAAAAACCTCTGCAAAACTGAGATGCTTTTAGGTTTCATGGTGGCTTCAGTGCAGGAGTTCAGAGCCCAGCCTCTCCTCCTGTACAGCTCCAGGGGCTGGGGGGAATGCGCTGGGCTCTGCGGGAGCAGGACACGCTGTTTCTCACTCCAAGATGTTTTGGAAAGTGCTTTTGGTGATGAGATTTGAGAAGAATCTTCAAACTACCTAAATAGTTCAAGGAATACTCCATCTCACCCTGTGAAACTAGTGCAGCTTAAACCTGATGCTTAAAAATTGCCTATAAGTTAAACTTCATACAAGATTTTTAAAGTCTTGTGGTAGCAAATAATGTGAAGTTTTTATCACTCAATTGAACCTTGAGTCAGATTTCATCTGCCAAACAGTGTAGTTCTTGATAAAAACGTAGGCAGTGCATGCACAGTGATATGTTTTGAAAGGTTTAATGCACTTCTAAATATTGTCCTGAAATATTAATTCTCAAATCACTAAGAAAGCACTTGGGGACGCTTTCCAGTTCATACAGCAACAGTTGAAGTCGGAACGTTAAAGGAGGAGGAATTTCTGACCTGCTTCATGTAGCACATCTCATCTTGTCTTTTAGTACACCATGGTGAAGGACATGCTCTCTCCAAGCCCCACGGAGAGACCAGAGGCTGCAGTGATCATAGAAAACCCTGTGTTTGAAGACTTGGAACTGCCAGCAAAACCAGTGCTGAGACAGCGGTCACGGACAATGAGTTTATCAGGAAATAAGCATTCGAGACAACCAAGCAAATAAACACCCTCAGGATCCCTTCTTCCACTCGACAGGCTTTAAAGGGATTGTTCAGCAGAAGGATCCTGTGTTGCAGAATGTCTATCTTGGAAATAGTTTACTTCAGCTTTTTTTGCCATGTTTAATGTATAAGATGCATTGGACGGATTTTGGTTTACTCCGACAGCCAAGGCAAGGCAGTAACTACACTTTTCACATTCCATTTTAAACTCTTCTAGGTGGATGGGTCCAGCTACTGTGCTTACCAATTTTGTGCTTCATTATCTTTTGTTTGGGTTTATTGGGTTTTTTTTACGCTTGTAAATGTCAGCTTGCTGGGTAAGTGAGAGATCTGTAACATGTAAATAGAATTAAAATACTGTATTTTTATAGTGCAAATTACAGTCTCTAAACCTAGTGAGTGTATATCCAGATCACTTGCTCTTGAAATGAAGATGCTTTTGAAACAAACTATGACTCCATTTTTGTCCCTGGTGGGTAAACTGGAAATTGCACTATTTTTAAAGCAAAAAAGTACCACACCTGTACATACGGTCACTCTCCATGGTCAGTCATTAGAGGAAATTGTTTCGTATTTCCGCACTATTGTAGTTCTTAGGGAATGCATTTTATACTGATAAACCTGTAGAAAAGGAAAAGGAACTTTTTGCCATGAAAAAGGGGGTTTATAGAAAATGGTTGGAAGAGCCATAGTAAAAAGAAATATGTGCGAAATGTTGTGCTTCTGATGATTTAAACCTAATGAAGTCATACGTGTCCTATGTAATCTTGTAGATTTGTACTTTTTAAAAAAAAAATCAAGTGGTAGGCATTTGCTCTAATCTGCTAATTTAACTGCCTAATACCATGCTTTTATTTCTCAGTGTAAATATGTTAATTTTTATTTATAAAATACAGAATCAATCCATTTGGGTTGGTGGTGTACAGAATGCACTTGCTGTAATTGTTGGGTGCATTAATTACTGTGACTTTTTTCAAGTCTAAATGATTTAATAAACTTTTTTATTAAAAAAAAAAAACTCTAGTAGTTGCTTGTGTTGAAGCCCTATAGGGGTGTGTGCTGCAGATGGCAGCTGTGGGTAGCCAGGGCAGAGACAGTTTATCTCACTTGCTTTGCCTTCCTCTGTTACTCCAATGCAGATGGTATGTAAAGACATGTGTGTGTGTGTGTATGTGTGTCACTCTAAAGCCAGATACTATCTGGAGGAGGATGGAGCTCTCAAAGCTAAGGTGTGGATTATGGAGGCTTGGACATAATCGTGTTATCAGAGGGGGAAGAAAAGGGGATAATTTTCACACATTCGCATAAATTTTTGTTGTTTTTTACAGTAAGTTTTCCAAGATTAAATTTTGCAGTTATAGACTTTGAAATCAGTTCCTTAAAGTGAAGCTAGAGCCGGGTATTTCAGGGGATCACAGTGCTCTGCTATGATACTTCAGCCAGCACCTGAAGTGCCACTCCAAGCAATGGCACTTTATAGCCTTGCAGTAAGGCCAGAGTGCCACTGCTTGGACAGGATTTTCTTGCTTGTGCTCTCAGGTGCCTGTCCTAGATTCTGGCCCATCAGAACATCAGATGTTTCATTCACCAGTTAATTTATGAGCAGCTGTGGGAAATTTAGAAAATAACTATGAGGCTGCCACAGGTCTCTTGTCTTCCTGCGGCCCTGGACATGAGCATGTGTCTTTCTGCCAACTCCTTTTTTTTGCCAAGGCTACCACAGCTGCACGAGGGAGTTCTCATCTCAGGCTCATATACACCATTGTCCTGACTCACTGCTCAGTATCTCTGCCCTGTACCTCTGTCCCCTCCCCCTGGCAGCCTGCATGGCTCTTGGGCTGGAACCCGATTGCTTGTCCCATTTATGAAAATGGGTTGACTGCCAGGTACAAGGATCCTGTCCGACATCAGGATCATGAGGTTCTTACCCTTTCCTACTATTTAGTGGATTTAAAGGAGCTAGAAGAGCTGATGTTCTTCATGAATCGGAGCTGTTTCTTCTCCTGCAGAACCAGATTCTTAAGGAGCAAGGACTTTCGCCTCCTCATGTGTGTCTTCAGCAGCAGAGGTAGTTGAGGCAACAGCTTCTTGCTTTCTGCTAAACCGTTTTAGGTCTGTCCTCCCTGCTACCCTCATGCTGGAAGTGGAAGGACTCAGGCCTTTGACCAACTTGCCCCTCTTTTCTTACCCTGTGTTAGATACTTGCAGACATGTTCTGGTGCAATCCTGCCTTTCCAGGGTCATCCTTCAGTTGTTCCCCAGCTCCCTTTCAGGGAACCAGGGCCAGGGAGCTGCTGTTTAAAGCTCAGTGAAGCACTGAGGAATAATAATAGTGTTCCTGTAGTTATTTGAAACAGGTGATCTGTTCTTCTTTCTGCTTGAAGTCTGTACACTGTTGCTGGGATTTTAGTGGTGAGAGGAAAGGATATTTATCCTTTTTTCTTGCTGTGTTCTCCAGCAACACTCTATATGGTTACACTCACTGCATCAATGTATAGACACCACAGTGAAGAAAAAAAAAAACACACCCTTAACCAGTAACTTCTCCACCTCTGCTGCTTGGCTGGTGTCAGTCACCTGTAACCCCCTCTGAGCTCCTGGGGTAGTTGATGCTCCAGATAAATGTTTCAGCAAGGCCAGCTCATCTCCATCTTTCCAGAATAAATAAGGACTAAGGCAACTTGTCATAAATAATTCACAGAAAACACCCCTGAAGTAGTAGTCTTAAATTCTACAAAGGCATCCAAAGAAAAAGCACACAGTATTTCTCCTGCCCATTCATGACCAATGCTGAACCATTCTTACGCTGCCAAACACTAAGTCTGAAGCGTGAAAGCATGGAGCCCCTCCATGCTACAGAAGCGAGCACGTTGCTTTTAAACCCTGCGCAGGCAGCCCAGGCCGACGAGCACGAGCTCTCAGTCCACCCTGGCTTTATATAGGCCTTAACTCTGCTCTCTCATCCTGCCAACGCCCATTCACAGACTGACACAAGGGAACCTGTTAAAATTTATCAGATTTATGATCTGAGTTGTAACATGAGAGTTACAGTAAGCTCAGCAGGAAAAAAAAACTGCTGTCCCACCTTCGATTGTAAGAGATTACCAGGCTATAAACAGAGCAAAATAAGTTCACAATGCAAGCTTTTTTTTTTTTCCAGCATGAAGTTTGAATTCATCTTAGGAAATATTAATTAAAAAAGATAAATAGTAAGACAGTAATTATCTTCATTAGCTACGATAAATTGCCCCAAAATAGCAAAGTTCATCATTCATAAAAGTTTGGAAGATGAAGCAATATCTTGTAGTACGCCCCCAGCTGTAATAAACAATCAAGCCCTGTTCCAGCCTCTCCTTCCCCTATTTTCCTCCCCGTTCCTCTTCCATTCAGATGTGTTCTTGTATTGTTCCCACCACAGCCTCCAGCAGCTGATTCCGAATCCCTATTGCTTGGGTTTGCCCTTCAGAGCGCTGTTAGGCACTGGCACCGACACAGTACATTCCAAGTCTGGAGCAGTCTTGGAAAATGTGGCTATTGAAACCATGTCTTCTCCAATGTCCACCTGAGACCTGTGCCTGCAAATGAGCAGCTTCTTCAGGGCCCGCTGGAAGTCCCGGTTCAGGAACGCATAGAGCATTGGGTTGATCGTGGAGTTGCAATAACCCAACCAAGTGATGATCTTGAAGGCGTCAACCAGGACAGCGCTAGTGGAATCAGCCCCTTTGGCAGCTAACCAAACATTCAGGACAAAGTAGGGCAGCCAGCAGAGCACAAAGACAGAAATGATAATGCTAATGGTCCTAGTGGCTTTGTTCTCCAGCTGCAGGTGGTTCTGCCGCTTGCTGTTGGGGTGGTAGTGAATCTCCAGCGTCTGAGACATGATCCGCGTGGCCTTGAGCCGCGAAGCCCGGTAGATGAAGAAATACATGCTGCACATGACCATGAAGGGGACAAAAAAGGCAAGGGCAGAAGCTACAATGGCAAAAATCCAGTTGGTGACAAAGACGCATTCTCTGCCTGCATCAAACTCCACTCCAGGGATCTCGTTCCAGCCTTGCATGACAGGAAGGAAGGAAATGAGGGAAGAGTACACCCAAACCATGCAGGTCATTACAATGCACCTGCAAAAGGGGAAAAAAAATAAGGGAGAGGAGAAGGTCGAGTTATTTTGAGATGAGAACATCCAGTACAATTCAATCCCCATGGTAACCCCTGTGGGATATCACTGAACAACAGTCCCAGAGGGTTTTGAGAGTGGCAGAGCAGAGAGAAAGCTGGGATACACCAAGCCCATCTGTGAATGTCTCTAAGACCATCTGTGAACATCTCTAATGACTTGGTACTCTGGATCTACGGCTTACAGAATAGCCCAGGTGTATAAGGGAAGCTCACAGCTGGATGGGAAACCAGGAAGAATGATGGCTTTACAGGTATTTGTTAATATTTAAACCTTAACACGTGGATTTTTTCTAATGAATTCCAGCATTCATCTCTCATTACTATATTATCCTCTAAGGCTCATTCCTGCAAGAGGGGTGGAGCTGCTGGGTGCTGCAGGTGCTCAGCATCACTGCAGCCTTTGCTCTCCATGGTGTGCTGCACAGCCCCCTTCCCTGTTTTGGTTAACTGTGGGCACCCTGCAAACCATACACTGCTCGAGCTGCAGCTGAGGAAAGACAGTTCCCAAGGAGCCTGAACCCACTTTGTGAGTCACCAACGGCAGTGTAGCCAGAGCAGCAAAGACTGCAGCTGCAGCATCCACAGCTGCACTTGTTCAAAGGGGGCTTGGGGTGCTGTAACATTCGCAAGGCCTGGCAGCAAAAGGGCACTCAAAGACACCCAAATGCAGAGGTACCATCCTTTGCCCTGGGGCTACTTCCTGAACACCCCTCTGCTTTTAAATACCTACAGTTTAAAAAGGGATCCACCAAACCTGGTGGCTGGGCCTTATTCTGGTGAGACAGGCCAGTAGCAAACGGATTGTAAAGGGATGATGCACAGAATCTGGTGAGAAATCAAACTGGAGAGCCACCCACCCTGCAGTCCTCATTTGAACATTACATGTGAAATGTAGCAGCTGCTTAAACACCCATCCTGTTTTCTCCACGTTCCCCACATTAATACCGCTTTGTAAGTACTAAAGATTTAGGAGGGGGAAGGCAATTGTTAGAGGAGTTCTTCTGGGTGTCATTCCTCCTCCTCCTCAGGGAAAACGCCCCCTGAAATGCCTAGCAAGGGAGACACTGCAAGCACAAGTCAGCCCCACTCACTGCTTTCCACCCCATTCTGGAAACCACCCTTAACTCAAAAGGTGCTTTCCCAGAAGTACTGTCAAATCAGGCCAGCTGCATTCCTCCCAGCTGCAAAATTTTAAATGCTGCTAAGATCTTTCTAACCACACTCCTCAGGTTTTGTGCAGTCCATAGTTCATTTAAGTTTGCCCGGCCCTGTAAGGAATAGGGACAGAGTGAAAAGTCTCCAAACAAGATAACCGTGTGGACCTGTAATGACTCTGAAATGGATAACTGTCATTCTCACATAAAAAAAAATCTATGGTAGAATAGGTACAGAAGCCTTAGAGCTTTGCAGTGAGAATGAAACATCTCCAATTTTTCCCTCTCTTTGCCATCCTTGTGGTTGCCTGTCAAATTCTTGAAGCAAATGCACTCACCTGCCACGGGACATCCTTCTTGAATAGTGGTAAGGGGTCACCACAGAGCAGTATCTGTCCAGGCTGATAAAGCACAAAGTAACGATGGACGCAGTGCAGAACATGACGTCGAAGGAGATCCACACCTTGCAAAACAGCCTTCCAAACAGCCACATCCCTGTCACCTCATAAATGATACTGGGAGGGAAAACGGAGAGAAACCAAAGTCAGAAACAGACTGATTTAATGCTATGAATCACAGACCTTTATGAGTTCTCCCCAATTCTTGGGGCATGGAAGATGCTCCCTGCAACAAGAAACTCAGCTTTCATCAGGGCTCAGGGTTCAAACCTGAAGGATT